CATTGACAAGAGAACACCAGAGAAATGAAAATCACGGTGACTAAAGAATACCAGAGAAATGAAAATCACAGTGACTAAAGAACACCAGAGAAATGATATAATCACGGTGACTAAAGAACGCCGGAGAAATGAAAATCATATTGACCAAAGAACACCAGAGAAATGAAAATCACATTGACCAAAGAACACCAGAGAAATGAAAATCACGGTGACTAAAGAACACCAGAGAAATGAAAATCAGATTGACCAAAGAACACCAGAGAAATGAAAATCATGGTGACTAAAGAATACCAGAAAAATGAAAATCACGGTGACTAAAGATCACCAGAGAAATGAAAATCACATTGACCAAAGAACACCTGAGAAATGAAAATCACGGTGATTAAAGAACACCAGAGAAATGAAAATCCCATTGACCAAAGAACACCAGAGAAATGAAAATCACGGTGACCAAAGAAAACCAGAGAAATGAAAATCACGGTGACCAAAGAACACCAGAGAAATGAAAATCACATTGACCAAAGAACACCAGAGAAATGAAAATCATGGTGACTAAAGAACACCAGGGAAATGAAAATTATGGTGACCAATGAACACTAGAGAAATGAAAATCACATTGACCAAAGAATGCCAGAGAAATGAAAATCACATTGACCAATGAACACCAGAGAAATGAAAATCACATTGACCAAAGAACGCCAGAGAAATGAAAGTCACAGTGACCAAAGAACACTAGAGAAATGAAAATCATGGTGACCGAAGAATACCAGAGAAATGAAAATCATGTTGACCAAAGAACACCAGAGAAATGAAAATCATGGTGACCAAAGAACACCAGAGAAATGAAAATCATGGTGACTGAAGTACACCTGAAAAATGAAACATTGACATATCGCTTAATGATCTTGTTTTATACCACAAAATAACTGTGATAATATTGCATATGTTCAACCAAATTTTAATAAAGCAACATTTTTAAGAATAGTTGAATGCTGTATTAATAAGACGCTAACCACTAAATATTATCATACTGACCTATTGTCTACTTACTCTGAAGAAATTAATTATTTCATGTTTTTGAAAACAGCTGATTGACATGTATATTTTTAAATTACTAAACAATTTGCAAAATCACCTGTTACTACAGTGCCAATAAATAAATACAATAAAAGGAAATAACATATGGACAGCAGTGTTAAAGTTTACTAACATTATGACACATTGCATATATTAATTATGATAATTTCATATATCACTTTGAACACATTAAGTACATGTTTTACATAAAATGATTAATCTGATAAGCAGAAGTAATGAGTTAATGTTTGAAATATGCTACTTTCTTTACTTGACAGAATTTGATATTTTTAACAAGTTTTTGATCAACTTGACATTAATGCAAAAAGATATAAAACAAAATGATGTGTTATAAGTGTCCCCGATTAATAGCTGCCACATATTTTTAACGGGCTTGGTAGGTTAGATTTTTTGATATGTGGTTTATATAAGTGGAATGTTACTATACCAAACAAACACTTCACAAATCTATTCATCAGATCATTTTAATAAATCAGGGTTTGATACGTCTAACATCTATTTATTGTAATATTCTTGCAAACCTGTGAAATTAAATACTAGAATGATAACTTTTTTCACATTATAGTCCACAATATAGTTAAAACTGAATTAGCTTATAATTTTGAATCTATATTTCATATACAATATATTTTTTGTTAATTTATAACTTATCTTTAATTTCACTAAATTTGCTACTAGTAACTTACAGACTGGAATTGGCAGCAAAGGAATCATTTGTGTACTACATGTAAAGTAAAGTAAATTTGATTGATTGATGAGCAAAATAGAATTCATTGAGTTTGTCCACAATTTTTGAAATAACAACGATACAGAAAAGCATATCATGTCAAATAATTGACAACAAGTTGTGCTACCATAGGTAGATAGATACATGCAGTATTTAGTTGTTCCAAACAAAAGTGTTGTTTTTTCAACAGTACATAGATGAGTGGTAACACTAGAGGAAACAAAAATGATAAAACAATATACACAATATTGGAAGCCAGGCAGTAATTGAAGCCTATGAAACTTATAATAGTGTCATATATTACACTTAAATTGATTTGTGTCAGTGAAAAGTGTTTGATAAATTCAATCAAATACATTGCCAATACGCCAATCTTCATTTCATGCACAAGCTTGTTCTGACACGGTGCACATAAAATGGCAGGAATAGTGTGAATGGTTGTCATGACAACACACACTGGAATCTGTTCACTCAATTGCTAATTTTTGTGCAAAATTCCAAAAAGAAAACAATAAATACAACAGCTATAACACACATAGAAAATATTAGTTTTGTTCTGAGATACCGGGCTAAAATCCAAGTATTTATTTCTGATGTTTTCTCCTTGTTGACGTGACTCGTTAAACCCATAATGTACGTGCTCACTGGAAAGGGCCATTAATATTATTTTTTAATCTTACCGTTTCCTCGTCAGAATCTGAATAATCATCACTTGCCAGTGTCATTCTGGTGGTGGTTCGTCCAACGCAGAATTTGTCCCGATGTTTTGTCATCATATTGATAGTATTAAAGCTCATACCGCAGTCTGGGCATCGCAATGTTCTGTCGCTTGCCATCATTTTTACAAATCGATTCTTTCACAGGGCGAAGTCCCACGGTAGAGTAGCGGCCTTGTGTTGAAGTAAAACACTGAGTGCTCACAGAATGTCAATAAATAAGCTCCATTCGAGCGTTATATGGCCCTAATATCACAGCAAAATTGCGCGGAAAAGAGCACGGATATATCCTAGGACGGCGTCCTTCAGAGCCCTGCCATGTTGCTTTAGGCCGACAGTGACTGCGGCCCCAATAACCTCGGACACCGTTTCCAATGCCTGAAAAAATAAAAGGCTATTAACATTAAAATAGGAAGCTTTCAAACTGTCATCTACTGCATTTGAGCCAAATGAATACTATGACCTCAGCACGTTCTTTGTAATAAAGCAGAAAGCTGTGACGAACGTGAAACACTCATTCCATGCAGCCTTGAGAAGGGGCGGTGACAGCCAATATTATCGATCACGAACTACTGAATATTAAAGTGCACTGATTCCAGTTTCCGAAAAGCCAGTTATGGCATGGTCTATTTACTCACAGAAGTATTGTCACGCTGTTGTTATCACCTGGGCAACCGCCAAAATGACAAAAAGACTGTCAATTATTGTGACCTCTCTCCACTCATCTTTCCGTTTGGTCGACAGACCACCGGTGAGGGCGCTATAGCGTTCTTTTACAATGACTTAACATTTTAGATACAAATACTAAGGAGGTTGATACGTCAATACTGCCCAATATGTTATTTATCGATAATTAAATATCATCTTCATACCTCATATTGCTGCTGTGTCATTCGTGGATGCAAACACACTCGGTCCTGTATTGTTACTGCACTCATCATGGATGCAGACACACCCAGTACTGTATTATTACTGTATCCATCGTGGATGCAGACACACCCAGTACTGTACTGTACTCTGAGGCCTACAAACTTGGCACCAATTTGGACAAAGAAAACGTCAGTAATTGGACCACAGGCATAAAAAAATTACTGAACCTTTTGGAAATTAGTGATGTTTGCGAAAAAACCAGTATTATCCCATTAGCTACAAAAAAACTAAAAAATATGTTTGAGAAACACTGCACAGAAACAATGCATAATGACAATAAAGGCACTAATCACAAAAATAAACTTCGTACCTACAGACAGCTGAAAACTGATTTTGCACTTGAAAAATACCTTGAAATTATTAAAAACCCCATCCACAGATCATCTATGACTAAACTGAGGATAAGTGCCCACATACTTCAGATTGAAGTTGGGCGATATCACAACATAGATGTCTTAAATAGAACATGCCCTGTCTGTGACTCCAATGAAATTGAAGATGAAGAACACTTCCTCTTCAATTGTAACCAGTACAAATTTGAAAGAGATGCTTTGTTTGAAAACGTAAACTTATCCGGTAATCTGAAAGCACTTCTCAATAACAAAAATTCTGAAACCGTCCAAGCAATTGCCAAGTTTATCAGCGACTGTTTCAATAAAAGAGAGAATTTCATGAAAAGCAATTTACCAGCTGCCTCAAAATAACACCAAAAAATATTTATATAATAATATTTTCATGGTATTACTATTTATTTCCTTATTATTATTATTATTATTATTATTATTATTATTATTATTATTATTATTATTATTATTATTATTATTATTATTATTATTATTATTATTATTATTATTATTATTATTATTATTATTACTTATGTATTTTATTGTTCCTTATATCTTTATTGTATTCTAATCTAGATCCCAGAAGGGATACGATATCAATAAAGGTTGTTATTATTATTATTACTGTATCCATCGTGGATGCAGACACACCCAGTACTGTATTATTACTGTATCCATCATGGATGCAGACACACCCAGTACTGTATTATTACTGTATCCATCGTGGATGCAGACACACCCATTACTGTATTATTATTGTATCCATCAAGGATGTAGACACGACCAGTACTGTATTATTTCTGTATTCATCATGGATGCAGACACACTCAGTACTGTATTATTACTGTATCCATCGTGGATGCAGACACACCCAGTACTGTATTATTTCTGTATTCATCATGGATGCAGACACACCCAGTACTGTATCCATCGCGGATGCAGACACACCCAGTACTGTATTATTACTGTATCCATCGTGGATGCAGACACACCCATTACTGTATTATTACTGTATCCATCATGGAT